AAAAAAAAAAAAAAAAAAAAAAAGATTAGCATGTCCCTTGAACAAGGATGGCACACACACAAATCGAAAATGGTCAGACGTTTACAGAAGGGGCAAAAAGAAGAAAAAAGGAAAACGAAGAAGACTGAGAACTTACTTGGTGGTCCTTAGTTAAGTTTCCTTGGCAGAAGGGGTGTATCGACGATCTTTTTTTTTCTTTGAAAAAAAAAAAAAAAAAAAAAAAACAGAACCTTACGGTTCTGGCTCCATCCCATTCTCTTGGGAGCATCAGTGGCCGTCTGTCGACGATCTTTTTTTTTTTTTAATAAAACAGGACGATCTTGTTCTAATTGTTTCAGCGAAAATTGTTTGCTGCAATGATGTCTGAGCAACAGGTGTGAAGACAAGGAGGCTCGGCAGTCGCTGAAACTCTTGTGTGACCTTTATGCCTTGGAGCGCATTTGGGAGGATATCGGAGCCTTCCGCAACGAAGAGTATCTTGCACCCAACAAGGCCAAGGTGTGTAATATTCATTAACCGTACTATTGTACATGAACCCTCCAATGATCGATCATCTTTCCTTCCCACCCCTATTCAAAACTCGAGGCAGCAGCAGCAGCAGCAGCAATTTACGACCAGCTCTGTCGACTACCGTTCGGGTCAGCGGCGTACAAACCAGCAGTGATTCACCCAACCCAACCCTTGGTTCCTCAACCGTTTTTTTTTTCCTCAATCGGCTGTGCTGTTTGTTAGCGGAAAGAAATAAATTTTGCGCCGTAAGGAATGCAAGTCATCACTGTGCCAAAAGCTGAAAGTGAACAAAGGGCAACAAACGATCCGCAAAGTACTAAACACTTAACCGTAAACTGCAACACGACTCCATGTTTCCTGCAGAGTGGAGAGAGTCCGGGAGACAGGCAAGAAAGTGAAACAAGGAGCACATGCGGGGAGGGTTGCTTTTTGCCAGAATGGCAGAATGCTGATTTTTTTTTTTTTTACCTGCGGCCGCATCAGTAGGAAGCTCATCACCCCTCTCCTTACCATCGGACATGGGCCCCTAAAAATTTGGAACATTTCTCGATTTATGCGTGCTGATCGTCGTTGCTTATTTTTCTCTTCTTTTTTCTTCTTTCTTTTTTCTTCCTCCTTTTTTCTTCTTTCTTTTTTCTTCTTCTTTTTGATGGGAAGAGTGATGGCTTCTCTGACTAGATATTCCCCACTCCTATATTCCGGGTTGACTTGTGAGGTCCCAGGCCTCCTTTTTTAGATGAAAAAAAAAAAAAAAAGGAAAGAAAAAAAAGAAAGGTCGACAGCCTTGAGATGTAGTCGTATTGAACTGACCGTCCGCAGGTAATTCCGAATTATTTTATTTTTCTGGTCATCTGATTGTGTATCTGGATTCGAACTTGGGTCTGATTCATATTTCATATTTCAACAGTTTGTGCCACTTTGTGGGTGTACCAAACTGAGCTACACCCGTTGGTTGATTGTTGTTGTTTGTTCCACCAACTGTGCATGTGCAGGCAATTCATCGGCTGGTGGAATACCTCTGCTTTGAGGCCAGAGGTGCAGCTAAGGAGCTGGTTGATGCGTTCGCCATTCCCGACGCCATGCTGAGGGCGCCTATCGGATTGAATGCTGATCAATATGCTGAATACACACAGACAGTCGGATTTTGAAGACGCCGTGTGAGATACCTACCACATGCGAGCTCTTTCTCCAAGTGTCTCAGCCGGAGCACGGGGTTGTCGTTGGTTGAGTGTGGAATTCTTGCTGCACACTCGCTCGACCAGGTGTGAAAGAGAGAGGGGGGGGGGATGGATGTTCACACGGAAATGACACCGGTGCCATAGCACTGGCACCTGTGATGGCGTCCGCGGAGAACATCGGGCGAGCGAGCGGTCCCGGACTCCTGGTTCTGCAGCTGCTTTGTTTCCGAAGTGGAGTTTTCTTCCACCTCCATGTCGCTGTTGACTGCGGGAGGAGCTTCGTTCTGTCCACGACAACGCCATCTGTCGTCGCTCTTTTGCAGAACGATGCTCCTCCCGCAGAGATCCCACATAGTCAGCTCTGAAAGTGTGGCAGAGAAAGAGAGTCATCTGTCATGTCAGGGCCCTGAGGACTTGTGTTTTGCAGACCAGAAAGAAAAAGGCAAACCCATCTGTCGCTCTCTCGTGGCGCGCGCGCAAGAGAGAGAGAGAGAGAGAGAGAGAGAGAGAGAGAGAGAGAGAGAGAGAGAGAGACGTGTGCTTTCTCTTGTGGAGGGTATATTAGGGATAGACTCTTTAGTGGCGAGTCGCAAGTTGCTGGATATCATCAGAAAAGTGCGGTTTTGTGGTGGAACGCTCTCCCTATGACCAGAGGATCTGCTGCACAGACATCAGGTTGAGCAGTTCTGCAGTCGTGAGGGTCGGTAGTGATGATGACAGTTCATTAGCTCTGAGATTTGATGGATGAATGCGTCTTGCAGTCCATTGAGGGCATGTGGGTCTAGACAGGGAGAGGAGGCCAGGACTGGCCCAATGGGATTGACGTGGTCAGCGTCTACGGTGGGCGACGTAACCGTGCTGCTGTTCTATATATAGCCATCGCTGACGGGAGTTGAATGAGACGGCTAAAATAAATCTCCAGCTGAGGTATGGAAAGCTTCAAAGCTCATCTCATCGGGGAAGGAGAATTCACAGATTTCGCGCCACAGAGAGACATGTGTGCAGCCTTTGTCACTGTCAGCGTGGGAATGTTTTTTTTTTTTCCTTCTGGACTTCAATTGAAATGGCCTGAATAGAGTCCTTGCTCCTTTAGCCTCCTTATAATTAATAGTATAAGTAATATAAGTATGAATGAAAGAGATAAATGTAAGATACATATAGATAGAGACGGGTGGCTCTGTGCGTAAACCACCAGTTCATGGCCCCAGGCAACTGGAGAAACTGTTTTGATCCTCTCCGAAAATTTAGGAGGCCGAGCGTCGTAGATAAAATGAGTCGCCGACAGGCGGCCTCCGAAAGGGGCCCGCCGCCCATAGGTGGCATGTACTGGTGTCTCAAGGGGATGTAAATTTTTTGAACTGTGTTTTGTGAGTTTGATGGCGAACGTCGTCTCTGTAGCGTTGGTCGTTTTCAGCGTCAGACATGGTTCCCGTTGACGTCAACTTCAGTCGGACCAGGCTGAACATTTCCCTGGCTCCTCTGGTGAAGAGTGGTGGCTGGCTGTTGAAGTGGGAGTCTGCACGGCGGCGTCGGGGAAATCCAGTGTTTCAAACAAAACCGCCGATAATGGCTTGTACTCTCTTCACCCCAGCAGAACACGCACGGGCATTAATAGATGTATGACGTATTTGGGGCAACTTTCAGTCCACATGCGGTGATAATGACCGCGTGTTCTATTCGGGTGAGGACGGAAGTGCCGATCCGGTTGGATGAGAGTCATGAGACAGTTGGAAGACAGATTGGTGGCCATCCTACGTCGTGTAGCGTAGGCATCGCCGGCTGAACTGGTGGGAAGATGTTCGAAGAACAGGTTGATGATTGTACGACGTACATGCATGCAGCTGCCGTAATCCCCCCCCTGGCCTTTACTATCAGACCAGATATAAAATACCAACTATGTACATCATTGGTGGCCAATGGCCATCCTACGACGTGTAGCATAGGCATAGCCGGCTGAACTTTTCATCTGAGTAGAAGCTTGCATCCCTTTACCAATAATTTAGTATTTGATATATGTCTGATGACTCTGACGAGTCTGATCCTGTGATGTACATAGGGTTTTTTTTTTTTTTAATACTAAATGGTATATAAGATGTATGTTTTATGTTATGTAAAAGTATTCCTTGCTAGCGTATGGGTTATGGTCCCAATTGTCCCATATAAAGTTTGCAGTGTGTTATTTCCCTGCTAGAGTATGGGTGATGATGGTCCCAATTTTCCCATCTAAAGTTGGTCCCAATTTTCCCATGTAAAGTTTGCAGTGGTTTATTCCCTTCCCATTGTCTCCAGTTTGTGGTGCTCTTCGCTGACCTTCTTGGGGCTTGAGGATGCATCCTAGAGTCACAGAAGGTTGTCACATTCTTTTTGGGGCTCTTCTGATTGGGAAGGTCCCTGGGTTTGGGACCTAGGGGAAGATGATCGTTGGGTTTGGGATTTGGGACAAGATGGTCCCTGGTTTGGGGCTCTGGGACAAGCAGGGACGTCGGTTTAGGCTCCGGGGAAAACATGGTCCCTGGCTTTGGGCTCTAGGGACAGATGATCCTTGGGTTTGGCTTTGGGACAACAGGGTCCCTGGGTTTGGGTTCTCGGGACAAGATCGTCCCTGGGTCTGGGCTCTGGGACAGGATGATCCGGGGGCTTCGTGAAGAGTGAGCCTGTTATTTCGTATTTACACCCGAATGGTCAGGAAGGGCGTAGTATACTGCTATTACTATATATATAAAAGTAAAAAAAAAAAAAAGTATATAGTATATACAGCTCAGAATTGTACGGGGTACGGATTTGAACTGCCGCGACTGCTGCATGGTACCGTTGTAGCTACTCCCCCTGTGAATCGGATTGCAATTACGGCCAGCTACGGCTGCATTCTATACTGCAATTACGGCCAGGCCTGCATGAATCGGACCGCAATTACAACCAGCAGTTCATCCACAGCCTAATAAGAGATGTTGCCATATGAGATTGATGGATGATGATCCGATAATCGTCTGAGATGTGAGACTTTCGCATTCCACGCCTCTGAGGGCATAACTCACACTACCATCGAAGTTGGTTGTGAGACGGCGCACCGGGACTTTTTCTACTAAGCTCTCTGGACGTGATTCCGGTCCGATTCATGCAGTTCTGGCCACAATTGCGGTCAAATGCATTCAGGAAAGAGCTACTGCAGCCTACCGGTACCGGTCGTGTGAGTAATAGAGTATGCCCCTGCGCGACTCGTTTCAGATTAGAGTGCATCCATGTATCGCCGGGACTTTTTCTACTAGGCCCAGGACGTGATTCCGGTCCGATTCATGCAGGTCTGGCAAAAATTGCCGTAACTGAACCGAAGTCAACGGACATTGAGCAGCAACTGACGTTCTTCACACATGAGCGGCAACTGACGTTCTTCACTGATGAGCAGCAAAAAGAAAGTCAACCGGCGAGCATCAAGTCAAAGGCATCAGTGATGATCGGCAACTGAAAAAGTCAATGGGTCAGCAGCGACCCAAAAAAGTCAACATGTGAGCAGCGACGGAAAAAAAAAGTCAACATGTGAGCAGCAAAGGAAAAAAAAGTCAACAGGCGAGCAGCAATGCGAAAAAAAACTGCATGGGCGAGCAGCAACTGGAAAAGTCAACGGGTGAGCAGCGACTTGAAAAGTCAATGGGTGAGCAGCAAGTGAAGTTTCCTCACCGATGAGCAGCGACGAAAAGTTGTGGTGTCGATTGGCAGCAAACTGAAAACGCCAACGGGTGTGCAGCACTGGGAGTGCCGGTGCTGACGAGCAGCAACTGAAAAAGTCTACGCGTGAGCAGCAACGATTAAAGCCAACTCTTGAAGACGCGACTTAAGTCATCGTTGCCGAGCAGGAATTGAAGTCGACAGCTCAGCAGCAACTGAAAAAGTCAACGCTGATGAGCGGCAACTGAAAAAGTCAACGCTGATGAGCGGCAACTGCAAAAGTCAACGGGCGAGCAGAGCAGCCATTCAACATTCAAGCCATCAACCGATGAGCAGAAATGGAGACGGACAGATGATCAGCCACTGGAGTCAGCCTGGTCGGCGCTGAGAAACCACCCTCGAGTGAGGCTCTCAGGGCATGATACACTCGAGTCCGAACTTTTTTGGAATCTGACTGGTATACCGCCCAGATTCAGTCCAAGAAGTGATAGTGCAAATAGGGAAATAGGTACATACATATAGGAACATAACCCCTTCATTTCATCTTTTTCTTTTTTTCTTTTTCTCTTTCTTTTCCCCTTTTAGCCCCCTTCATTTTCAGTTCTATGCTTCTACCTTTTTGCACCATGTCCCCCAGGGCCGGTTATTCGGTGTGCGAAGTCGCAAACCGCCGAGCCTTTTTCTTTGCTGTTCCCGGTTGGAGGCGGCTACAAAATCCTGCGCACCAACGTTTCCGCCGCTGTGGGTTTTTTGCGGCATTTTTCATTTCTCGCATCCGTTTCATTTCACCGCCGCGGATCGTGAGTTCAAATCCTGCCAACTGTCTTCTCCTCTTCAGGCATTGTCGCTATGGCTTAGAAGTTTGTTGTCCTTTGTCGCATGTACTTG